TTCAGCAGGTGACGTGGTGGTTAAGGCTCTGGATACTTACATGGTCAACTGCAGTTTGAATCCTAGACCTGGCAGCTGAAAATCATACTGGGCATGTATGTGTGTGTGCCCAAAATCCTGAGAGAAAAATGCAGCAGAAAGGATTGTAGCATGGCCATACCCCCTTGGGAGTGATTTATCACTTTCCCTTTCTCTGTCCCTCTCCAGTGAGCACACATGCCCTATGGCAAAAGCCTTTAAAAGGAATAAAGAATATCTATTTTTTTTCCGTTTTTATTTATTTATTTCCCTTTCTTCATGACCAAGTGAGTTTGCACACACTTCAGAGAGACAGAGAAAGGAGCACCCACCACCACACCCACGTGCCTGCCTATTGGACTTTGGACTTTCATATGCAAGCCCAGTATGTCTCAGCCTGGCTAAGCTGGAGATTCAAACAACCGTCACATGTGGCAACTGGCTTTTCTTGAGTGGTATATTACCACTGTGCCACAGAACTGGCCCTGAAATAACTAAAGTTTTATACATGTCTACAAGTGACATGTCCTAATAACTCAAGACCTTGCTACAAATTTAGAATGCTAACATATATATTAACCACAAAAAATAATTATTTTCTAAGCCATTTTAAAGAAATATTGATATATTAATAATCAATTATGGTGGAAGATGGACTATCAGTTTCATAAACATATAAATACTACAAATAAGTCACAAAAGGTCACAGGCCAATAGAAGCTAGAAAGAAATACCAATAAATAGAGCGGAAATAAAAAATAGAGCTGAACTGCAAAATCAAGACGAGAAAGGGCAGGCATTTAATGAAGAAACATTAATTAGCAGATGCATCATCAATGGGAATGACAATGCTACCAAGAGAAGGAACTCACATGGAAAAGAAAAATGTGTCTAAGAGAAGGAAACTGCAATTAATGTGAACATACATTATAAAATAGAGACGTGACAGAAATACATAATATGAACCAAATCATGTTATGTTGAATGAAGAAATTGGTGGGGGGAGCTGCAAAGTTTCAAAGACAAAATACGTTGATAATGATTACAACTGCCAGAAGTACTAGCTACACATTTTATCCTGTGTAAAAGGTCTATTATCTCTAAAAAGCATGCAAATAAATAGTTAAAATTTTCTATCTACAAAAATTGTGCCTGTAATATAAAGCTGTGTTACTTATACTGTCAAAATAATGTTACAGAATTATACAGCTGGGTTATAAGAGCACATGAAAATTTTGTTTTATGGCCAGCCACAGTGGTACAGTGGTAATGCAGTGCTCCCCAATGTGGAGGCCAGATAAGAATGTCCTAGGTTCATGATCCAAAGTCTCTCTGTGTACGCTGGGTGTGCACACATGTGTCTGTGATCCTGGTTGGCTGAGGATAGATCACGGGATAGATCACAACATGAAGACTTTGTTGGGAGTGTCTCTCTCTCTCTCATAAGAAATAAATACATTTTTTTTATTTAATCATACCACTCAACAGCACCAAACAAAAAATTCTAAATAGTTATCATTGGACTTTGATAAAGTACAAAGTCCTTAAAATTGAAAATTTCACAAAGGGCTGACACTGACACCAAGCCCTGCATTGCATCTATTGTATATATTATTTAACAGGTTCCTCCGAGTCATTTTATCATGCTAAAGAATGATAAAATAGGAAGTTGAATTAAAAGACAAATATAGGGCCACCCTATAATGTAGTGGTTAGGGTGGCTGGATCCCACCACTGACCTTGGCTCATGGCCAACCTTTCGGTTCAAGTCTCAGACATGGCAGTTTGAGAAATACACCAGGCACATGTGCATATGTGCACAAAATCCTGAAAGGAAGGAGAAATGGAGGAAAGAGGGTGTGGTGTGACCAGTCCCTATCAGGAGGGTGCTTTCTCACTTTCCTTCTCTCTCCATCTCTCTCTCTGTCTCTCTCAGGTGAGTGAATGCACACTCTGGAAAATAAAAAAAAAAAAGAAAAGGCAAAATAAATGGCATCTGAGATTCAGCTAATGTAGTATGTCACATTAAAAGAATAAAGAACAAAAGCCACGTGATCAACTCAATAGAGAAAGCAATTGACAAAATTTAAGTCTTTTACGATAAAAACACTCAACAAATTAAGATTAGCAACTCAGACTGATAAATGACATGTACAAAAAACCCACAGCTAACATCATACTTAATGGTGGAAAACTGACTACTCTCCCATTTCTATGATCAAGAACAAGACAAGAATGTTTGCTCTTACCACTTAAATTCAGCATTGTGCTGGTGATGCTAGCTAAGGCAATTAGGCAAGAAAATAAAATAATTAACATTCAGAAAAGAAGAACTAAGACTATTTCTATTTACAGATAACACAATCTTGTATATAAAAGCTCCTACGGAATCCACTAAAAAACTCTTAAAATAAAAGAGTTTAACAAGTTTGTAAAACATAAGATCAATATATGAAAATGAACTGTATATACAAAAATAAAATTTAAAAAATTTCATTTTAGCATTAAAAAGAATGAACTATGGGACCAGCAGCTGATTTAGTGGTTAGGGTGCTGAATTTCCACATGGCCAATCAAGTCCCAAGCAGGATGGCTCACTTTATCACTTTCACTCTCCCTTTCTTTCTCTGTCTCTCTCTGGTGAGCACACATGCCACATAGCAAATAAAATAATAATAATAACAATAAACTAAATCAAATACTTTTAAAAAAATGACTCCAGGCATGTGTGCATACGTGCCCAAACTTCTGAGAGAAGAATAAAGGAGAAGGGACTGTAACATGGCCATCCCCCCCAAAGGTTAATTTCTCACTTTCTCTCTCTGTCTGTCTCTCTCTCTCTCCAGCAAGTGCATGCACTCTATAGGAAAAAAAAAAAAGAAAACTAATCAAATACTTAGGAATAAATTTAACAAAAAAAGTGTAAAACTTAAATGCTGAAAACTATAAAACATCATTGAGAAAATTAAAGAAGACCTAAATAAGTGGAAAGATATCCCATGTTCATGGATAGGAAGACAACAGTGTTAAGATGGCAATACTTCCCAAATCAATCTAAAGATTTAGTGCAATCCCTATCAAAGTCCCAACTAGATTTTTTGCAGAAATTGGCAAGCTGGTCCCAAAAGTCACTGGTAAGTTCAAGGGA